CCCAGCACTCAGGAGGCAGAGGTGGGCAGATCTCTGTGAGTTCAAGGCCAGCCTGGTCTACATACTGAGTTCCAGGACAGCTGGGGCTACAGGGAGACCCTGTCTCAAAAAGACCAAAAAGAAAAAAAAATTTAATTAAACTTAAAAATATATATATATATATATATATATGTGTGTGTGTGTGTGTTAATGCCCTAACTGCATGTATGCAAGTACAGCTATGTTCTGCAATGACTGTGAAGGCCATAAGAGGGCATCACATTCCCCAGTACTGTAATTACAGATGGTTGTTAGCTGCCATGTCTTCTAGAAGAGCATCCAGTGCTCTTAACCACTGAGCATCTTTCCAGCCCCATAAATCAGAATCTGGAGACACAGACTCTGGTGGGGAATAACCAAAAGAGATGAGGAGAGGATGCATGATATCTTGCACACAAACTAAACTACTTTAAGCAATCAGAATTTGCTGGCTCACATGATCTGAAAATTCCAGCAGTAAGACTTGGAGCCAGGCTCCCATGCTGCCATCAGTACTTGACTTGCTTTCATTTTAAAGGTCTCCTGTACAGGCTTTCCTATCATGGTTCAAAGTGGCCATAGAACTCAGCCTTTTTCACATGAGCACACTGAGATCTCCTAAAGGCTTCATTGACTCTAGTTGGGTTATAAGATATGGCACATTGACTCCAATGTCTGAGTCAGAGCTTTTCAACCTTCTGTACCTGTGACTCAATGGGAGGCCTACTGTATTAGTTATTTATTTCATTGATATGATAAAATGCCTGACAAAAGCAACTTGAGAAAGAAAGGATTTATTTTGGCTCACACTTTGTGGGTACAGTGTGCCATGGTGGGGAAGGTCTACCAGTGGGAGAGTGAGGCAGCTGGTCACATTGCATCTACAGTCAGGAAGCAGAGAGTGATGGGTGCTGGGGCTCCATTGGCTTTCTCTTTTTATTTGTTTCAGACCTTCAGACCATGGAATGGTGCTGCCACATTCAGGTTGGGTCTTCCAACCTCAATTAAACTGCTCTGGAAACACTCTCACAGTCATGCCTAGAAGTTTGTCTCCTAGGTGATTCTAAGTCCCATCAAGTTGACAAGATTATCCATCACAGCCAGTCCTGGTGGCACACATTTTAAATCCCAGTTCTCAGAAGGCAAAGGCAGGTGGATCTCTATGAGTTCAAGGCATTCCTGGTCTATATGGTGAGCTCCAGGCCAGACAGTACTACATAGTGAGACCTTATCTATAAATAAATAAATTTTATTGGTCACACCTACTAAAGAACAGAATCTGATGGATTAGGTCTGGAATGGAGCCTGAGAGTTCTTATTTTTCTCTTATTTTGGTGTGTATGTATGTGCATGTATATGCTTCTGTGTGTGCACATTTATGTGCAAGAACATGTGCACGTGGAGGCCAGAGGTTCATGTTGAGCATCTTTCCCAATAGCTCTCCACATTATTTTTTAAGACATAGTCTCTCATTGAACCTGGAGCTCACTGATTTGGCTAGACCGGCTGGCTAGCAAGCCCCCAAATCCTCCTGTTTCTGCCTCCACAGTGCTGGGATTACAGCTGCATGCCATAGTGCCAGGCTTTTATACAGTGCTGGGAACTGTACTCAGTAAAGCAGCAAGTACTTCACTGCCTCTGACTGGGCCATCTCCCCCAGGTGTGGTGGCGCACACCTTTAATCCCAGCACTCAGGAGGAAGAGGCAAGCCAATCTCTGTGAGTTCAAGGTCAGCCTAGTCTGCATAGCAAGTTCCAGGCCACCAACTGGGGCTACAGGGAGACCCTGAACCCTGTCTCAAAAAGACCAAAAAAAAGAAAAGAAAAAAAATTCAGCATTTCTTCTTCTGTGGTTGATTCACTAGCTTTAAAAAGTTTTTGTAGGGAAAAGAGGAACGCTTATTCACTACTAGTGGGAGTATAAACCAGTACAGTCACTATAGAAATCAATATGGAGGTTCATCACTGAAAATAGAACCACCATGTGACCCAGCTACACCACTCTTGGGTATGAAGGACTCTAATTCAGCACATGGCAAAGACATCCATGTTAATTGCTGCTCTATTCACAGTACCTAAGGAATGGAACGAGTCTAGGTGTCCATAGACAGAGGAATAGATAAATAATGTGGTATACAAAAAAAAAAAAGAATGTGGTATACATGCAGAATGGAATTTAATTCAACCACAAAGAAAATTGAAATCATGAAATTTACAGGAAAATGGATGCAGCTAGGGACCATTATGTTAACTGAAAAGAAAGTCAGATTCAGAAAGACAAATACTGCATGATTTCTCTCCAATGAAGAACATAGTTTTAAGTGTGTGTGTGTCTATGTGTCATATAGTGTGCCATGACACTATAAAGGGGATCATGAAAATGAAGGAAGATATTTTAAGGGAGAGGGAAGACAAGAGGATGATTCTGCATGTGACATGAGAGCAGAAGGGAGAGAAGGGGACCAGGAAGAAGGGTACTGGGGGGTGGGGAGAACAAAATATGCATGAAAATGCCATAAGGAAACTCATTACTTTGTAAGCTGCCTTAAAAAATTAATTTAGGGATTGGAGAGATGGCGCCACAGTTAAGAACACTGGCTGCTCTTCCAGAGGACCTGGGTCTGGTTTCTAGCACCCAAACGGCGACTAACAACCATCCTTAATTTCAGTTCCAGGGATCCAATGCCTTCCACCTTCTTCAATGCATACATGTGATATACTTATATACATGCAGACAAAACACTCATACACTTGAAGTGAAAATAGATAAATGTTTTAAAATGCATCTTAAGCCAGGTGTGGTAGTGCATGCCTTTAATCCCAGCACTCAGGAGGCAGACACAGGCAGATCTCTTTGAGAAGCATTTTTGTTTTGTTTTGTTTTTTTGTTTTTGTTTTTTTGTTTTTTGTCTGTACCTTGGCTGGCTCCAAACTCATGATTCCCTTGCCTCTACCTCTTAACTGTTGAGATTACAGGAAGTATTATCATACTTGACTAAACATTTTAGATTTGGCATAGTGATGTTCATCAGTCTTTAATATATGCGTGAGCCTCACACAGTGAACTTAGGGTCAAGTTTTAATTTTCCTCTATAAATGTGATCTGCTTGTCTCTGCCTCCCGAGTGCTGGGACTAAAGATGTGCACCACCACGCCCAGCTACTTTCAGTTTTTTAGCATTATTGTAAGATTTGTCAAATTTGAAAAAAACCTTTATCTTATTTCATATATAGATACACAATTCTAGAGCACTTCAGATTTTCTTGAGCAATGATCTTCTTCAATACTTTGAGTTAATCACACATAGTTAAAAATTGTCCTCAATGCCATCTTTATAATGGTAGGTTATGCATTTTATGATATTCTCTGATGCATTGGGGGGTCTACATTCATGTTTTTCTTTTTTTTTTTACATTGATAGTTTTAAATTCAAATATAATGTGTCAAAATA